TGAACAAGCCAATAGATGTGTGAAAAGACGTTCAACCTCACTGGCAGTTAGGGAAATGCAAATCAAAACTACAGTCAGATACCCACTCACAACTGTTAGAGGGGCCATTACCAACAAGACAAGAGACAGCATATGTTGAAGAGGTTGTGGGAAAAGGGAACCCTCCTTCACTGCTGATGGGACTGTAGACTGGTACAATCATTATGGAAAGCAGTCTGGCGATTCCTCAGAAAATTATGAATAGAGCTACCATATATATGAATCAGCAATCCCTCTTCTGGGTCTGTACCCAAAAAACTTTAAGTCATTTACTCACAACAATATATGCCAACTCGAAGTCATTTACTTGAAAAGATATATGCACCCCTATGTCATTGCAGCATTATTCATGGTGGAAACAGCCAAGTGTCCTGCTATAGAGGACTGCATGAAGGAAACATGGTACACATATACAGTGGGATACTACTCAGCCATAAGAAAGGATGAAATAACACAATTTGTAACAACATGGATGGGTCTTGAGAACATTATGCTAGGTGAAACAAGTCAGACAGGAAAAAAGCTACCAACTATATGATTTTACTCATAAGTGGGATATAAAATTGAAGCTCATGAGCATAAGCAGCAGTGTGGTGATTACCAGAGGGAAGAAAGTTAGGGGAGAAGAGGGTCCCAATATATGGTGACAAGAGAAGATTTGACTTTGGGTGGTGGGCACGACACAATATACAGATCTTGTAACATGGAAACCAGGTCTGAAACCTATATGTTCATGTTGGCCAATGTTACCCCAATTAATTGAATTAATAAAATTTAAAATAAAAAACAGAAAGAAAAAAAGGGAAAGTTGCTTAGATACAGTGCCTAGTGAGGAAGACAAGAGGTATTGTGTCATCCTTCTTCCAGTCCATTTTGTAGAAGTCACAGGTTTTGCTGTCTGATAAGCAATGAGTTATGTTTTCCTAGTGATGCCCTGTGGGTTAGAGCAGAGCAGAGATGTGTACCATCTGTGCAGGAGCTTCTGTTATTTAAGCAGGAGAAACATTGACTCTTCTGTTGGAGGTTGGGACAAGCCCACATCACCTCTTCCAGAAATCCAGAAATCGACAAAACTTGATTCTCTAAACATAGACATGCCCCCTTTAAAAGCTGGTTCTAACTTAGGAATCTTAGATGTTGAATTCTGATGAAAATCAATCAGATTTGTCAGTCAGCTGTAGAACCACTGTGATCAGTAACTGCATTTTCAGTAAGGTGAACACTATACTCCTCAGAGTATTACCCAGATTCCAAATTCTGCCTATCATTTTTAACTCTCCCCTTATTTTTTTTATGCTATGCTTGATCCTCTAAAAAATAAGACATTCGTTTTTGTTAACTGCAAAGGCATTGCAAAGTTTTTGCACAAAGTTCTGAAGTTTCATATATTTTTTTAGCAGAGATGTTAAGAAATCATAAAGCCCATTTTTTCTAATTACAGAAGTAAAACATATCGTATCCTATGCTAATATGTACAATTACCTTATGTTTTAAAATTGATTTTTACAGAGAGAGGAAAAGAGAGAGAGAGAAACAGTGATTTCATATGTTACCCTACCAGGAATCGAAGCCCAACCCAGGTACGTGCCCTGACCAGGAACTGGTGGATAGGATGAGCCACCCAGCCATGCCTCAGTTACCTTATTTCAATGTTTTGCAAACACACTTCATAAATATTTTTTGCTTGCTGTTTAATTAATCAATGAATTAATTAATGTTTGCTTCCCCTCCTACCGTGTAACCTTGATAACAACATGTCAAATTCTTCACTTAACCTTTAGAGTCTGAAGCAAAGCCTATTAGAACATAGGTAACACTCAGTAAATATTGCTGAATAAGTACATGAGTGAACTGTGCACACTTCAAAATTAATAGAAAAATCAAAGGAAGAAAATAAACATTTGAAAGATGTATATATAGGCAATTCTTGCTTTTGCAGGACTGTAAAACTGATTATGCATGCTGAAGGTATGCAAAACAATCAATCTTAATAATCAATGAAAAAAGTTACTATTGTTCTTTGACTTTTTAAAAAATTTGCCAGATCGTTAAGCTCTATCTTGCTTTTGGCTATAAAGGCATAGGGGAATAAAAAAAGGTAGTAAAACTAATATTTATTTAGTACATGCTAATTTTTAGAAACATTAGGATGAAAGAGAGTGACTCCTTTGTAAAATCTCATCAGAAGGAGTTTGAATAGTGCTTGCTTTCTTGCTATTGTACAACTAATGAAATGGAATAAGCATCTTTCCTATGCCCAAATTGTCATACTCCTCTCTAATCTGAATCAGCTTCCAACATTTTATCCTCTGTGCTTTCCATGTCCAGAAATGTCTGAGAGTTCCTTTAATGTGAAGTGGGATTTTTTGTTTGTTTGTTTTTTGCCAGCACCACTTCCTCTGGGGCATTGTTATCATTTTGTTATAACCACTTTCCTCTACTAGGTAACTAGTCTCTCAAATGGTCAGTGGCAGGATTGTTTGTCTACATGCCCATGCCAGGGAAGTCTTCTATGCCTCCATTTACATTTGACTACAGACTTCACTTGTGGTGTCATCATGTTTTGTTTCTGTGCAGTTCTTTCATCTTTGTTGGCCAATGCTCTTTTGAGTATCCATATTATACGATATGAATATATCACTGGGAGATAAGAAGGCAACACAACCACACAGTTTGCTGTCTGTACATGAACTGGATAACAAATGTGTAGTAACCAATCACTGACAGACTTTGAAAGATGCACTATTGGTCACTGATCAAGATGCACATATGTTATTTACAAAGTCATCAATTGTAGACTAAAGAGGTAGCAGTGAATTTTGTACTTTATGCAATTGCTCACAGTTCGTATACCAGGCTCACTAAAATTTGTAGAATTATTTAACTAAACTGTGGTAACTGAAATTTCACACACATTGGAACTGAGGACTCCCTCAATTCCAGGTTATTTTATGTACATATGTGTATTTTTTTATTTTGTATTTTTTTTATTTTACTAAAGTGGAATCATAGTTTACTAGAGTGGAATCACATTATGAATTGACAGTTTTATTTGCTTATTTAATATTAATGTATATACATAAAAACAATAATCTTAATATCATGTTTTATGTCTATATGGTATTTTATTTTTAAATATATTTTTATTGATTTCAGGGAGGAAGAGAGAGGGAGAGATAGAAACATCATTGATGACAGGAATCATTGATTAACTGCCTTTTGCATGCTCCCTACTGGGGATTGAGCATGTGCCCTGACCAGGAATTGAACCATGCCTTTCAGGTTCATAGTTCAACACTCAACCACTGAGTCTCACTGGCTGGGCAATTACATGGTATTTTATTATATAGTTGTATTATAGTTTATTTCATTAATCCTCCTTTTTTGGACATTTTGGCTTTTTCTATTTTTCTTAATTATAAAATTGCAGTGATCACCTCTGTAACCAAGTCTTTGAAATAACAACCGCTATTTATTTGAAATGAATGTCTTTCTAATGATAGAATTGCTGGCTCACTAGACTCATATACTTAATTTTTTTTTTATTGATTTCAGAGAGAAAGGGAGAGGGAGAGAGAGATAGAAACATCAATGATGAGAGACAATTATTGATCAGCCACCTCCAGCACCCAGGCATGTGCCCTGATCAGGAATGGAACCATGATCTCCCCATTCACAGGTCAATGCTCAACTGCTGAGCCATACCAGTTGGGTTTGACACGTATACTTTTAAGACATTTCCATATCATTCCAAATTTCCCTTCAGATAGTGATGTTCCCTGCTAGGCTCCTGTCAGTGACATAAATTTTCTAAATCATTGCTGATATTAGAATTATTATTCCTTTTAAATTTCCATTTTAATAGGTAAAATATATTTTAATAGTTTTGAATACTAGTTAGCTTGAATATTTTTATTGGTTTATTTGAGTAAATACATCTTGAGAAATGAAATTTTATTCTTGTCCTTTTTATAATAGTTTTCAGATGGTATGGATTTTTTTAGGTTATTTGAGTACATACATTTTTACATACACACACACACACACACAAAAACACAACAACAAACACACACATATATATAGGTGTACCTGAACTACATTCATATGTACATATTATTCTTAGTTTTATCTTGGGATTATACTGGTAAAGAGTATCTGTGGGCCTTAGGTTTGTAACAAAGCCTTCAATTTCCAAATGCTATCCTTTAAGAAAAGAAGAGAGAAGAAGGGGAACATAACCCTTGACCTGGAGGAGATGCTAGTTAATTTTTTATTATGGTATTTCCAGGAGATAGGGTCAAAAGAAGCTAGTAGGGCATTCAATTATGTGCTTGAGTGTGTTGGAAATCCCTCCCCCCTCAGGTGTACAATATTTTACTTGGGCTTGTTTTTCCAAGTGCACTGAAGTGTGACTAAATATTTTTGGTGCACCATGTGTAAAGAAGAGGCCCATTTCTTGTTAAATATTCCTTCATCAACTTTGTTGTTAGCCTGAAAGGGCATGGGCATTAGGCATCGGACAGAGGGAAGGTTGGTGGGAGGCGGGCACCTGGGAGAACCTGAGGGTAGGGGTGCTCCGTTGTCTCCTCCTACTGTTATAGAGAAAAGTGATTGGATCAAGCTGGTTTCTGTCTAATCATTTTGGATGGCTCATTAATGGGGAAGAAGAGAAAGTCATGAGGTTGGACCTCAGCTCATCTGAGGGCTAAAGGTCCTTTGTCACACACCACACAGAACTGGAGCGCTGTCCTTCCCGAGAGCTGAGATACAGTTTGGAACCAGAGGAAGAGAGAAGGGCTTTGATTTCTTTTTGTCTTGAGGTTGGGAATAAGCAAGGAAGATGTCCACTGAGGATGTGGAAGGGAAGCCCAGCAGCCTTGGGGACAGAGGAAGAGCTCAGAGCTACACGTTCCTTAGGGTGGTGCAGCCTGTGTTTAACCGCAGTATTTTCACTTCTGCAGTCTCGCCTGCCGCAGAGCGAATCCGATTCATCTTGGGCGAGGAGGATGACAGCCCCGCACCCCCTCAGCTCTTCACCGAACTGGACGAGCTGCTGTCCGTGGATGGGCAGGAGATGGAATGGAAGGAGACCGCGAGGTGAGGCTCGGTGGATGTGTGTAGTACTGACCTGGGGGAACTAGGATGGGCAAGAGGGTTGAGTGTGAATGAACACCTTTCTCTAACCTCAGCACTTTGAATAATGGATGAGCATGATGTTTGCTGGGTTAGGGAATGAAACAATTTTTCTCTCCTCTTTCCCATTGAAATGATGCTGGACACCCTTTATTGTACTGCTAGGGCATCGTTTAACTGATCCTTGTTGCTATAGTTCTAACCCTTATGAGGAATTAATAGTAAATCTCCACCCAAATGCTACTTCTTAGAGAAATATTTTAAAGATAACTCAAATACCCAAACATGATCATGTAGAGATATGTCTCCACATGTCAAAATATCTTGTGAGATAATATTTGATTTATTACCCAATTCTTGTTAGGAGGGAGGTTGCAAAGGCAATAACTGGTACCAACAAACTTGCTATTTTTCCAAGTAAAAACCTGTCATCTTTTTAAATATCCAGTGAAAGTAAGTAGAAGATTCACCTGAGTTTAGAGGCCTGAGTTCTAGTTCAAACTCTGTAGCCAGTTAGCTCAAAACAGTTTCTCAGAACTTTGATTTCATTACCAATAGAGTGGCTAATAATGCCTGCTCCATATAACATGTATGCTATATAAGATATGTAGCACATGTAAATATAATATACAATATATGTCTGATTATATATACACACGTGTATGTATATAATGAAATTCTTCGTAAATTATTAAGCACTGCATAAATATCCAAGTTTTTATTAATTTCATAAGAGCAGAGCTCTTCTTTCTTTCTATATGTAGGTTTAGTTGTATATTCCACACTAAATCTTTGATGACATATAACATTTACATAAGATAAAGACTGACATAATGCAGTTGTTGGTCTCTCATTGCCATCATTACATGGAGAGTCAGTATATTTCACTTCCTTAAACCGAATTATGTTAAGATATGCCTTTTTATAGTCTGTAATTTAATTAAAACAAATTAAATTGAAGCAGTATTTTTTGAATGCCCAGTATAGGTCAGGTACTATTTTAGGTATTGGGAATACAGAAGTAAATATTTTTATTACTTGCTCCCTTAGGGCCTCTTTTCATGATCTAATCATTGTCTCTTCTTCCCAATCTTAGTACCAATAACCTGGATATAGTATAAAGTCCTTTATAAGTGTACTTTTATTTCATAAAACATCCTGCAAAAAGAAGGCTTTTGAAGCAAAACCTTTTATTAGTATCTCCATTTCATTATTTCTTTACTTTCTTCCTAACAGAAAAAGAATGAGGTTGTACTGGTGAAATCTGAATTAAGTATTGGGGAGATTTTGGGTTAGCCGTGGCTCTGTATTAACTAGCTGGTTAACTTCAGGCGAGTCACGTAGTCATGTCATCTTCCTGAGTTTGAGTTTTCTATTCTATCAAATGAGGGTCCTATTGTGTTACATCCTCTGTAACATCATGCATATGTTAGAGCTCTAAAGTTCCATTTCTGCTGGTGTAGTCAGCTGTGATTAGAAGACATATCTGACTCTTATTTTTATCTTAAAATTCTGTGAGAGTAATTTATATAGACTAGAACTCGAGTATAGCATCCTGTTTTTCTTTTAGTCAAGTGAAGACTACACTTTATTTTCTATGATCTCTGGTCCCAGGAATGTGGAGAAATCACAGTTCACTTATAGGTAATAAAATGTTGAGAGAGGTGGACATCGTATTTTCCTTTAAGGTTGTTAAAGATTAAGGTGGTCTTAAATACTGTATTATCCATAAAGACTTTATTTCCTTGGAAGCATATGTGTCATTTTGATGATGCACTTGGGTCCTGGGAGATTAGACTTCTGGAGAAGTGTGGTGGGAATATGCCAGGTATCAGAGGAAAGCTGTCCAGGAAGAAACATACTTACACATAGTAAACACCTTCGACTCCTTTTGTATAGGATTTGCCACAGTTACTACCGTGTTTCCCCGAAAATAAGACATCCTCCGAAAATAAGACCTAGCACATGGAAAGATAAGACATCCCCTGAAAATAAGACCTAGTGCAACTTTGGGAGAAAAATTAATATAAGACACTGTCTTATTTTTGGGGAAACAAGGTAGCAACAATTAATCTACCATATATGTGATATTGTTTTGGTTTTATCTCCCTCATTACACTAATTCATATGAAGGCAGGGGTTACCTGCCTTCATATCTGTCTTTTACTACCGCATTCCCAGTCCCTTGCTATACCTGATACAGAATAGGTCAGTAATATTTGTTGAGTGTGATTAGCTGAGAACTGATTGCTTTAAAAACAAGTATTCTACATATACCTTATTGGAGTTCTGTGGTAATCCATCCCTGATTGATAGATAGCTGAACAATAGACCCAGCACATCATTGAGAAAGCCCAGAAGAGGACCCCTGTTTGATGTTTCAAACCAATTCATCCGTATACTGATGCCATCTGCTTTTAGTCCTCTAGCCCATACTTCTTGCCTTATTTGACTGAAAACAAATGGTTGGCCCAGCCGGCAGGGGTCAGTGGTTGAGTGTCAATCTATGAACCAGGAAATCACGGTTCTATTCCTAGTCAGGGCCAATGCGTGGGTTGCGGGCTTGATCCCCACTGTGGGGTATGTGGAGGCAGCCGATCAGTGATTCTCTCTCACCATTGATGTTTTTAGTTCTCTCTCCCTCTCCCTCCCTCTCTGAAATAAATAAAAATATGTTAAACACACACAAATGGTTGGATAACTAGTGAGCATCTCAAAGTAGCATGTCTAGAATGAAGCTTCTGATTCATTTACTTCAAATAAGCTCCTCCTACAGAGTTCTTCACTGCAAGGAACAACTCCATTTTGTAGCTGCTCTAGCCAGCAACACAGTAGTCTTCCTTGACTCCTGTCTTTCTCTGCACCCTTTACTTAATTCTTTGGAAAATCTTATCTATTTATCCTCAAAGATACTCAGAATCTCGTCATGTCTTATATTCAGTACTGCCACAACCTGGTTCAACCCACCATTATCTCACACCTAGATTATAGCAAATCCTTAACTGGTGCACCTCCCTGCACTTGCCCTGCCCTTATCTCCCTCATGACTTGCCACCATGATCCCTCTGATCTCATCTGCTTACTCTGTTCCTTTTGTTCTGTCTGCTTGCATCCCACTGGCCAGTCATGCTCCTGTGTCAGGGATTTTGCAGTTGCTGTTCCCTCTGTATGGCTCATTTTCTCACCCCATTCAGGTCATTATTCAAATATGACCTTCTCAGTGACTGCCCTTTCTAAAGTGGAAACATTCCCCCAACTCTCTATCCCCCATGCCCCATAGTTTGTATCTTCAGCACTTATCAACATTTAGTATTTTATATACATTGTAATTTTCTCTTCTTAATAAAATTAAGGCCCCCCCTCTTCCCCCCAAGGCAGGAATTTTTGGTTGTTTTGTTTACCACTAAGCTTCCAGTGCCTACAACTACCTGGCTCACAGTTTATAATCTAGACATCTGTGCTAAGGGAATGAGTGGAGAAATAGGACCTTGATTCTTAGTTTACTGCTCCACCTAAACCCTGCTGGGAAGTTTTGAGGGGATTGTGCCTCCAGAAATTATTCTGGTTTTCAGTAATTTTTACTTCCTGTATGTTTGCAATAATTTGATTGCCATTTATGATGTCCAGTTTCCAGACATGACCGAGGTTCTTTTTTCCATGAAAAGCTCTCAAGTCTACCAGACTACTAAAAGTGTTGTGCTTAGAGGGAATTCACTTTATATATGAAAGTACAGCATGGATATTTTTGTGGCTAACTTATAAAATTGAGAAACCCCAATTGACAGATTATTTTATTCCATAGAGAACTATGCTACCAGACTTCTTCAGCTTAATATAGTTTCTACTGTTCACATTCCCTACTCATTTTAATACTCTCCCTTTTAATGTTCTATGCTTTTTATTTGACTAATGATTTGCTATCACCAAGAATATCCTACATTGAGTGTCAGAGTTACTATAGATTAAGTCCTGTTTCAGGAAATTCAAGTTAGCTCTGTGTCTCAAAAAGCAAGGAGGAGGATTTCAGTAGTAGGGAAAATATTCTCATTTAAGTTGTGGAATTCACAGTAGTCATGTAGAACTATGAACAAGGGAAGCTTTTATTTATATGAAATTTGAAGTATGGCCAGTTCTACCACCTTCATTTTTCACATCTTTTCCCTGTTCTTCCCTTTCCTAAAAGTTAGAACTTTAAATTTTTCCTGGCTTTTCCAACAAAGGGTGGAATGATCAGACCTAAGAAGACTATGTTGTCAGTGGAATGCAGAGAGCACTGTGTTGTTGTTGTTTTTTTCCTTTTCTTTTAATTCAAGGCTTTTGTTGTATCTTTATAATATCGCAAACATTTTTATAATATTGCAAACAAGTTGACAAATCATTTGGCATCTTGGTGTTTCTATAGTTGGACAACTTAGATCTTATTCTTCAGCCTGCTGAACTGGTCCTTTTTTGGAAACATAGATACCATCCAAAATTTTTCTGATAACCTTGTTTTTAACTATTGTGGCTCGCTGAATCAAAGCAGCTGAATTTGATACAAGTTCAATGTCATTTCTTTCAAGAATCAACTCATCTTTCTGGGCTTGCGATACTAAACAAGCAATGCCTAACCTCAACTCTGCGAATGTATTTTTCACCCAAGAAATTTCCAATTTCAGCAAGAGAATCATCCTCCTTAATAACAATGTGGATGAGGAAATGAGCGTACACAGACCTCATCTTGTAACAGAAGCCCCGTGTAACACCCTTGTTCATGTTCTGTACATGACTGCAGGTAGTGCAAACTGCGGCCAGTTCCTTTCCATTTTCCCACCATTTGTCAACCCAGAGCCTCTTCCTTTTCTTTCCAAGGAGCTCTACATGGATGTAGTTGAAGCCCCTCTACAGGGTGCCTCTGGGGCCCTTCACAGTAACTGTGCATCCTTTCAGAGTGATGTCCACAGTCTGATTGTTAAGAATGGTCT